CAAGAAGAAAACATCCCTTTCCCCCATGGAAATGCTCCATGTGGTGTCGATGAAGCACAAAGGAAGATTTGGTTTTCCCTCTACCAGACAGCAAAGTCCTCAGTGGTACTCTGTGAACATAGGGCTGATGTGGGGATAAAGTGTGCCACATTTTGGAAGAAAATTTCCTTCCAGAGCAAGCAGGGTGCTGCCAGCTTGCTGAAAGAGACAGCTGAGGCTGCTGTGGACACCAAGAGAGTGAGGGGAGCAGGTGGAGCTGGTGGAGGCAACTCCAAGGAGTGGAGATTTTACTTTCCTCCTGATCCTTCTGTGCCACAGCACCAGAGCCATCTGACCCCACCTCATCTGACCTTGGCTGAGGCATCTTAAATAAAAAAAAACAACTGAGCTCACAGGGAAGGGCAATGGTTTGGGTAGAAATGGGGATTAGGAATTAGAGAAAAACAGCAAACGGCTACATGTAAAATAGGCAAAGTAAGTATATAATCCTACTGGATTTATAGGAGAGATATTGGCACATACCAGGAACATTTCAAGCCAAATGTATGACAGCATTCCTTACACCCCTCCCACCCACTGCCATAGCCCTGCTTAATGCAAAGCCCTTTGGCTTCCCCAGGCTTAGAGCTAGGTTTTATTGTTCAAACAGGTCAACAATTGCAATCAGATGTTGACTGCAGGCACGACACAAACATGATGATGTGTTAATGTACAGCACCACTTGGATGGAGTTTCTGCAGTGTTGCTGTGTCCTGTGCAGGGTGGCAGCTGGGCTGGATCTCCCAAGGCTGCCCTGGAAGCCCCTCGGTGTTGTGCCATGAATCCCGTGTGAGATCAGCAAATGAGCTCTGTTATTGAAGTATAAACTCCATTTCTGGAAATCCCTGTGGGAGGAGGGCTCTCACACCAACTCTGCTTTGGTTTGCTATAAAATCAGAGAATCATTTGGGTGGGAAAAGACCTTTAAGATCATCAAGTCCAACCCAGCACTGGCAAGTCCAGCACTCCACCATATTCCTGGGTTTTTGAGGCTGCTTTAGAAAGACGCTGCTCCCACCTCCAAGTGCCCTTTTAGCATGAATTGAGCTGGAGTGGGATACAGATGATGGCATCTTTGTAAGGCAGGCTGGGAGAGGACCCTACAGGTGTACCTGACTGCAAAATCAACCTTCACTGTGCTGGGGGGGAGCTAACAGTACAAAAGATTCTGGCTAATGCCTACAACAAAGACATCCAAAACACATGGCACTGAAGTAATTCTGTTTATTTCACACCAGGGGAGAGTGCAGCTAGGTTATGCAGATACCTTCCCAATGGATGGGATTGTTTTGCTCCAATATAAATTTCCACATGCTCAGCACTCTTCATTGTCAGGGGATGCCTGTGGAGCTGCTGCTCCCTCCCAGCTCAGGCACAGCAAGAACAACCTTCCCCAAAAGCACTCTCAGAAGGAGAAGCTCCCCCTCCCCACAGCCTGCCCAGGCACACACAGAGATATCCCAAACACAGCCTGGCATGCTCTTTCCAGACAGGAATCTTCTACTTTGTGTCACTGACCACAGACCTGGCAAGGCATCATTCAGCTGTTAACATCCCCATGCTTTATTTTGCAACCTGACCAGGACAAGACCCATCATTTCTTGGTTTGTTAGCACACTGAGAACTCTGAGGTGACAGAATTTTACTGCCAAATGACTTTTACACCGACCACAGCAATTAAACAGTTGGCTTGGATTTAACCAAATCCCAGTCTCAGTCCAGTATTACACAGATGCATAATGTATCATTTACAGCTTCACTCATTTCTCTTAATTTTCATGCTTTGGGTTTGCTTTGTATTTTTGTTTCAATTTCAGAAACCTTAAAGTTGTTATGGAAAAAATAAAATTTATTATTCAAAATATTCAATTTGTTCAAAATGGAATGATCCCCCCCCNTTTTTTTTTTTTTTGGCTTTAATTTACAACTGGTTCCTTTAAATTTGACTGTTTTTTATCTTTTTCTATTTATAACCAGCACCAAGAAGAAAATTACCATGGATACAGTACATATGCAAATTAGCTAATGGAAAAATATATACATTTCACTCTGTAATGAGAAAACTTAAATGATATTATTGCCATGGAGAATATATCCCTGTATTATAATAAAATATCAAGCAATAATCGACTGCTAAGATTCTTTTCCACTGACAAAAAATAGCACCATACATGAGATAGTGAGAATCTACACTCAATAACACAATTGTGCAACTAGAAATGTACAGTACTTTAGTAACAGTACAGAGTATTGTTTACAATATGAAAATACCACCACTGTAATCAAAAGAGCATCAATTGCTTATGAACAACTAAGAAAAGTATTGTTGTAGATACACTGAAACAAACAGCTTTTCTTTTCACCAGAATGTGGGAACTGAGGGCAGAGCATAGTTGTGACTTTATTGTAAAGCTCCTATAAAGTGATAAAAAGCAGAAGTGCAGGAATATTGGACAGAATTAGATTTTTTTTTTTTTTGTTATTAGTTTTCTGGCTGTTATGTGATGGGGTGGTTGTCACCATGTGAAGTAAGAGAACTGAATAAAATTGAGCTGTGTTGTGCCATCAGTTCTTAAAAATGTTGGGGAGGTTTGATTATAAAAAATAAAAGGTTGATGCATGCTAATCTGTGAAAGCAAGTGAGGTGATTTTTTCTGAGTGCTCATACAGTTGAAAAAACTCCTTGTAAATTCCTGTTTCTTGAGGTAGGACCCAGAATTTGGACCTAAGTGTCTGTTGGGTTCAGAACCCAGCAGGCTGGGTGAGGCCAGAAGTCTAACCAGCCCAGCACCCTGTCCTGGCCAGTGGCCAGTAGTAAATTATTACTAAAAACCACAAAACCTAAAATCCTTCCTCTCCTATGTCCTACCTTTTGCCTAGAGAGGGTCACAGATCAGCACCAGAAGGAAAACGTTCCTGCTGTGGAGAAGCACCTTTGATTCCCAGCAATGATAATTCACACAATTCTGCCAAGGTAACAGAGAAAATGTTGCCCATGAGAAGAAAAAAAGCAAATCCCAAATGGAATGAGGGGTGTCAGGGGACTCGGGGGTGGCTGTGGGGGCAGCAAGGACAGTCCTGGTGTCACTGCAGGCTAAGGGGGAAACACCACTCTGAATTAAGAACATAAACCAGGTCCTCTGGGCTCTGTCTGATTTCTTGGAACTGTCTCATCAGCAGTTCTTCTACATGTTAATTTGCCTTATTGAGTATCACCTGGTATTGTCCAAATCTTCCCTGTCACCCCTGCCAGCAATTTTCCCTTGATTACTTCCTAAGTACTTACACAACCTCCCTGCTGGGCAACAGGGGGGTAATAACAGAAAAAGGAGGTCTAATCCCGATTATAAATTGCCAAAAAAAAAAAAAAATCCAGTATAACAAAAACCAAGCTGGAATCATTTCCCTGATAGAGAAAATCATCTGAGGCATTGGAAAGCAGATCTGTTTGAGACAGGCACTTGAGGAAAAAAGGTGTGCAAATGTGCCCTTGTGCATCAGGCCAGCCCTGGTGCACACACACTCATTTGCACACTCACAAGCACAGATGTAAATGTGAAGCACACACAGGGTCTGTTGATGAACATTATCTCCCTGTGCTTGAAAAAGTTAGCCCTTATTAAAATGCTAATAGGTTATTCCAGTGAGGTCCTGGATATGGAAAGAATGGTACTAAGCAAAAATTGCTTTAAAGACATGTTAGGTGCCAAGAGTCTTTATCCTTCCTTGCATTGACAAAAAGAGACAACAGCAACAAAGACAACCTAGGGCCAGGTGAGAGCTGCAAGCCAGCCCGGCCCAGGGGCTGGGGGAGCAGCTGGGCTTGGTTCTGTGCTCAGCTCCAAGGAGTCAAACAGTCCCACGCAGCTCTAGAGAGAGCACAAAGCTGCAATTATCCAGAGGGCTCTGTTCCTGTCACGAGGAGGGGGCTGAAACTCAACCACAGCCTTGGGCCCTGGCAAGGGAATGAGCCTTGTTGGAGCAAGATGTGACAGGGAGACACTGATGAGTGTGACAAGGGAGGGGACAAGCCCTGCTCTGGGCAGAGCTCCTGTTTCAAGTCTCACATCACAGAGAGGAGTCTGGTTTAAAGTGCAGAGACATGGCAGAGGGTATTGTGTGTGCAGCACCTGCAAGTGCTCTGACAGCACCAAACCTGGCAGCACCACAGAAGTGACACAGGGAGCATTCGAAGACAGCAGTGGAAGTCTGAGCCCTTGGCTTCCCACAAGCTCCAGGTTACAGTTTGAATGTCTTGTGTCCCTGGCTACTTCTGGTTACTCCAAAAACTACATAACCTCAGCTGTGTAAAAGAGCCCAGAGATAGAAAACACCTGCTCTGCTCCCCACTACATCCTTTTCATAAAGATTGTTCCAAATTCAGTTTCTGTTCCAACCCTCTCCAGTTTCACAGTCCTCTTATAAGAACCAACAGTCTCATTATCTGATTGACTTCTAAAAACTGGAGAGAGCTTAGGCCAAGCAATCCCTCAGTGAGCTCTACTGGATGAAATGATTTCTGGCTTCTCCCATCTCATGTAAATGGTTCTTGTTTAAAAGTAACTATCTATGGCTGTTAATAAGCTTCCATTTCATTAAGCTCAGAGAAAAATTAGGTTTCATAAAAGAAACTCTATTAATTCTGGGGAAAACATAGAGAGGATTGTTTTTTAAAATTAGAAGGAAAAGCACCCCCTATTAGTGGCTCTAAAAATATGACTTGGAATGTTGTATATAATTGTACTGAGTTTTCTATAGGAAATTCAGAGATGTCCATCCTCTGCTATCAGTTTTCACAAGCTTTTACAGAAAATCCTCTCTTTAACTAAACCTTTCATTTATGCATGTCTCTCCAAGCCCACTCTGCAGTGGGATAACTGCTGGGATTTGAAAACAAAAGATAAAAGCCAAGATTAAAAGATTAAGTAATGTCTCTACCTTTGCTGAATTATTTTGCTAGAGGCCTTCCTCCATGGAGGTACCCATAACCTTATCCAATGTAATCACTTTGCAACTCTTGTCCTTTTCTTTAATGGTAGCAAGCCATCCAGTGGCTGGTGATTTAATATATTAAAAAAGCCTTAACAAAAAATGTGAGGATGTCAAAATATTCAGAAATTATTGGCTCCTTGAGATGACCCTTTCTGTGTGTTTTTTTTAAGGTGGATGGATAAGCAGATGACTTTGGTATCCAGTCTGTAGGATTAGTTTCAAGTCTCACTGGCTGTGCTTTGGGATCCACCGCGCTGTAGCAACTCATGAAGTTCCAGTACTCAGACCTACTAGTCTGTGATTTACATACAAACAGCTGGAAGACTCTAAGGAGTGGCACAGGTTCATTAACTCTTCTGCTGCATCTTGTTTGCATAAAAGTCTCTGCACGTCTGGCAGCAGCGCTGGTACCACCGCATGTCCTGGCACAGGTTCTTCTCCCGGATCACCCTGCAGTACACTGTCCACTGGTCCCCCGTGCACTTGTAGGTGAGGGCAGCTTGGGAGGAGACAAGAAAGGAGAAACTGCCAGATTAGCCAGGGAACAGCACTGCAGGTGTGACCAAAAGCCCTGCGCCCGAGGGGAGGGAGGGCCACGCTCGCTGCCGGCACTGGAGAGCAGGTGAGGTTCTCTCTGCCAAAATATCGGGCTCTTGGAAGTGCTTCCTTCCTTCCCTGACATGAATGGGGGGTGCAAACCTCCTCCTGTTGCACCTGTTTTGTCTCAGAGGCAAACAGGCCTGGATGAACAAAACACCCAAAGACGCAGCCCAGATTTAAGGCCATGAACTCCACACTGCAGTCAATGGGATGGAGATGAATAAATCATACACCTGGCAAGAACACCCAAGACAGACCTTATGAATCTGAGATGGGAGAGTTCACATAATAGAAACTAAGCCACAAACAAGGCCAGGACTAATATTTCAGAGGTCCAAGGTCCCTCATAGTTTGTGAAGGAAGACAGGAACGAAATGACACGATAAATCCCTCTGAATGTGTCATCAGTAAGAGATACTGGACACAGACATAAAAGCCAGGTGAGGTGAACTCCACATTTAGATATTTTTGGAAATGTTATCCAAGACAAGAAACCATTCTGAAGCAGGGACAAGGCAGCATAGGGTCTGTAGACTACTAGAATTTTTTTCTTATTTTCTTTTATTGCTTCCATTGCAGAAAACAGAAAATTCTGTTTAAAGATAATCCAATTAGAATTGTTTATAAGCAAAAAGAGCAAAACAATGATATGTCTTTCCACTAATATCATTGTTTCTGGCCCTGGTGATTCCAAGCCTGGATTAGAAACAAAAGCATCCCAAATTGCTTGCAGATTATTTTCAGCAGAGACTTGAGCCTCCTCAGTCTTCTAAACACATGAGCATTTTATTGCTTTGTCCTAAAATGTGAATTAGGATGGATTTTTTGTCTCATCAGTGTATCCAGGGCTTACTTCTCAAATGAAATGTTTTTCTTCCACTATGCTCTTAGTGCTAAAATATCTGGGAAGTACTCTCATACCAAAAGAGGATAGAAACCCCTCAGCATGAGTGCATTTGCAAGAATGAAAGTCCCCATTTTCTCTTAAAACATCTGGTAAACTTTGGGGAACAATTTCAGTTCAAAAGCTTTAAGTCCAGTCCAAGTTTAAGCGTTATTTAATACTGGACAGCACCATTAGAAAATGGTTCTCTATTATTTAGCAGCTCTGTGTTTTCATGTGTGTTAGAGGTTTCTTAGCCTCTAAGATCAGCTTTAAGCTCAGCTGTGACAGAGGAGGCTGCTCTTTCTGGTAACCTCTTTGTGTTTACAACCCAGCCTCTTCTACCAAAAGGAGACAGGAAGCACTCATGAGGCTGGGTCAGTGTAGCCAATGCCTTAATTTGGCTTCATCTTACTGGTGATTATGTGTGAAATGTAAAGAAACCAACTTGGTTCTTCGAGCTGTGGTGGAACACACAGGGCTGAAGTTTGGAAAAATATATATTTAGTATATTTATATTTTTATCCCCTTATAAACCAATGTGGAAAATCACGAGATCCCCACAAATTTGTATTAACAGAGGCATTCTTAACTAGTGTGATGTCTTAAATACACTGTTAGGTGTTTCAGGAGACAGATGGTTATCACCATATTCCCTTCCCAGCCAGGGACACAAGGAACGCAGGGAAGGTGAGGAGGAGGACAGTGACAGAAACCACAGGGTCAGAAAGAGGCTGGATGCTCTCCTGCCCCTCTGGACAAATCAATCCATCAAAGCACCTGTCAGGGTCACGTATTTTCTTGGGACACAATGAATAAATGATCCTACTTCACACTCACTGCAGCACAGGCAGTGTGTGGAAGGGTTTATGGTGGACAAAGATGGACCTGCCAGTTCACTCACCTGTGATTGATCAATCAATCAATTAATCCAATCAATCACCCACCATTTGTGAGTTCCTGGTGCTCTGCACCTGGGCACAGCCTGAAGCAGGGCTCAGACAGGACCTACCCACACCAGACCTTCAGGCTGGAGTCTGGCTGAGCCTCTCCTGATTTCTGGCCCTGGACAATCACTGCAGCCCCCTGGGCAGCTGGCACCTTCCCCCAGGCCCCCGACTCACCGAGCCTGGGCGAGGTGATGGTGTTGACGTTGATCCTGTCGTTGCAGACCTCCTGGTGGCACTGCCTGTAGGCCGCGGGCTTGGCCAGCGCCGGGCACTCGCTGCCGTGGCGCCCGGTCACTTTGTGCATGCACTGCACCACGCGCGACTGCAGCCCCTTGCCGCACGTCGAGGAGCACTGCAGGAGAGAGCACACTGAGCACAGAGCTCCCATGCCACAGCACAGCAAAAGTCACTGCCAGAGCAGGGGGTGCAGCCACTGTGCTGCTGAGGGCTCGCAGCTGGGGCACCGCGGCAGCCAGGGATGCTCCGTGTGGCCGCTGCCTTGTCCATGATGGTTTTGCACCTCTGTGAGCAGAGGAACTCACCTGGCACAGGGAAGGAACTTGTTGTCTTTCTGCCCTGAGTTCACCTACTCTGTCATCTGTGGAGGCCCATGGGGTTCGAGAAGGTAAAAATGCAATTCCCCCCACCAGTCATGAAGAGGCAAAGCTGAAAAATGTGTAATGCTTAATTATGAACCAGCAGCTTCCACCTCCCTGAGAGGGACCCGGTGGCTCTTGGTTTAAAAGCCTTCTCCAGGACTTGGATGGTCTAACAAGGCTTCCTCCACAGACAGGATGACCACAGCCAGGCACTGACATCAGATAAATCCCAGGATTACAGCAGAGGCTGGCAGCTCCTGAGTGCCCAGACCTCTGAGCTCTGTTCTGGAGAGAACGCATCAGGTATTCCAGTATTCACTCCCATCAATCCCTGCTAACTGTCTGGCACTTGCCTGTCCTCCTGGGAGCAATTGCAAATTGTACTCATGAGTTTTGGCTGCTATTAGCCAGGAGGCCCAGCCTGTTCATATGCTCTCTTTGTTGTCATACAGGCAGAGTCCCTCCCTCTCCCTCCCTCTTCCTCTGGCCCAGTCACTCGTGATTTACAATGTCCTACTTGCACGCTGTTCAATTTTAATAAAGCAAACACAGTGAGCACAGGGAGGTGCAGCAGCTGGAGTCAATAAAAGAACCTTGTATTTAACATAAAGAAACAATGGCTTGCAAGACTTGGGTAAGATTCCTGTTTGTGCTAAAGCCACACACAAGCAAACAATGGGGGAGAGGAGGAGGTGAGGGAAAGCCCAGGAGGTATTAACAGAATGATGTAAAAAAAGGTCATGTTTTCTGTCCTCTGCTGTTTCTCACCAAAGTCAGGGCATTGGAGCTTTCTCCCTGAAAACCACCATCACCTCAGGGAGGTAATTCTCAAAACAGAGATGCCAAACACTGGAGAGGTTCAGAAGATGGGCATCACTGAGATTGGACTGAAGTCCAGGTACAAATCCTGTGTGTGCAGTGGGGATGCTTGTGAGACCCAGATCCAAGGGCAGAACATGTGGATGCACACAGGCCTCCACTTCTACATCCAAGAGGGGTGAGTACAGCAAAGCTGTGGTCATTTTGACCTGGAAGTATCACAAGAAACCCTTGCAGTTTGGGTTTTTTTTGCTTTACCATCTTATTTCAACTTAGGTTCAACACACCAGTTTATAACAGCTATTTTTACACGTAGATTTTTCAGGTGTTGAATTCACACAAAAAATTTGATTACTGTCAAATAATACCTCAGCAATGGTTATAGCATTTAGGATTATGCTGAATGAACCCTTCCCCTGCCCTATCGTGAGCTATTCCAAAAATCAGGAATTAAAGTCCCTGCTTCAAATCTCCTTTACAATCTGAATTTATGCAGTGAGATCTGGGCACTACATTAGTTTTGTGTGTCCCTCAGCTCTTTCCCAGCACTGAGTGCCCTCAGTGACTTCCACCAGCCTGGAAGCCACTCAGGCATGGCCACTGTATTCAAAGTGAACTGTTTTCATCCTGATAAATGCAACTATTAGGCCCTTCCACTTCACCAGTCAAATGCAACCTTTAATCCTCAGGATTTCAGTGGCACTTTTAGTCTTCACAGTGCTTTACTAATCTTAATCCTCCCCAAACTCTTTGCTTTGGGAGGGGAATTGTACATCCATTTTGCAAACAGAATCACTGTTATCACACAGGCATTAAATTACTCAGGCCATGGACTTCCTTCACATGATTGTAACAGCGAGCCTGAATCTTCTGTCTCTGGCTTTTAAGACAGGGACATGGGGAGAAAGAAGGGAAAAAACAGGGGGGACATGGGGAGAAAGAAAGGAAAAAAGGACCAAACCAGCATTTTTCTCATAAGGTGAATTAGGTTTTCAGGTACCAAGACACAAACACTCACCTACCTTTATCTGTGTCCCTGTCTCTGCATTTGTTAACCAGCAAGGAGGGCAAGCAGTGAAATGTTTTTCCACAGACACTGCCAACTCCAATCCTCAGACAAATAACAGCAGAGCTTTTGCCTGAAGCAGTTTTATTCCTTCTCCTGGGAGACTGGGATCATCACCTATGCTATGCAATTAGTTTTTCACAGCCAGCAAGACAGATTTTAACATCTTTCTCGAACTCTTTAGGGCTTGGCAGCTAAAGGAAGGTTGGACATCTGGCTTATTTTAAGACAAAATTTTCAACTCAGTACTTGGATAGTCTCTTTCCTAGGAATTTCAATAGGAAATAAGAATAGATACAAAATACATACAAAGGGGGGGATTGTTACTCGTGCTGCACTATGAGAAGAGGACATCATAAAAGAGGCATAAAAATCAAACTCCAACAGCACAGCAAATTCCCATAAATACCTTCTCTCCTTCTCTAGACAGCTAAATGCACTGCTAAGGACTCTCTGTTCCCAAATGTTTGTGGAGCAAGGAACCATATCCACAGAACAATTTTCAGAGAAGACCCTCCAGCAATGTGCCTCCTCTGGGAAGCTGGGGCTGGAACAAGGGGTTGAGCAGAGATGCTGCTGCCAAAGGAAGAAGTGGATTTTCCCTTCCACCAGGCACTGCCAGTGGTGTCACCATCACTAAAATGCATGTGCAAAATGCGCAGGATTTAACCATAATGCCCTAAACTGACAACACAAGCACTGTAAACTGGAAATCCACCCCCATGCAAAGATGAAAGGGTTGCGCAGCACTGTAAAATGGAGGTGGTTAATGAACAGCTACAAAAAGTGAAGCTAATGAGAGCCCCTGTAACTCCCAGTTCAAACACTGCTTAGGAAGGCAAAAGCAAGACAAAAATGCCTGCATTCACATTCTTTGGCAGTAACATGCAAGCCAGTGGGGATATCCAGAAGGAAATAAACTCACAAATTGTCAAGGCAGCAGCTGCATTCAACAGCTTAAAGAAGATTTACTCACTGAAAAACTCTAACCTTAGGAGCAAACTATGATTTTTCAACTGGAATGCTATTTCCACCTTAGGATACTGATACGAAAGCTTGAAATCTAGCAAAGGTGCTGACAGATGTCTAATTGCTTTGAAAGCAAATGCCTCAGGAGAATATTAGGTATTAAAACAGAACAAATTTACAAAAAGCGCTGAGATCTGTCAGGGCCTTCATCAACCCCTGGTCTACAAAAGATAGCCAGAGAAAAGAGGGGGGAATGAAAATGACTTAAACCAGGGCAGGGCTGCTGCTGTGGGCAGCACAGCAGAGTCCAAAGAATTCCTCTGCTGATGCTTAATGGGGGCTTAATGGGGATACAGATTTACCAGCACAGACACAGGTCTAGGACTCAATGGGATAATGGATCACTGTTGAGGGCTCCTGGGAGGCTGGGATAGATTTCAGACTCCAGGACACCTTCAGAAATGTCACTTTTCTAACCTCCAAGGGATAGATGTAATTATTTTTTTGGTAAGAGACTTTTCCCAGCAGAAGCAGATGCAGGTCACAGCATCCCTCCAGCCAATCCTGAGCACACTCCAGTATGGAGAGGGCTGCTCTGTCAGAGGGAGATCCAGTTCTAGATGACTGTCATAACTAAGCTGCAGGCAAGATAGGCTTTTCTCTTTATTCATCATTTTGCAGTCATCTGATGTTTAAAGATACTGGTTTGTCCCCAGTTTGCTGGAAGTTGCTGAAGCCAAGGATAACACCATGGCTAAAGCTCCAATATTGAGAGATAGAGTCATGCTTTACTGACTTCAGAGTTCAAGTATTCAAGGCGTTAGGGTAGAGTGTTTTTCCCCTCGGGGGTCTTATTTCTTGCCTCTATGAAAGTCAGAAAGAAAGCAAGAGAAGTTCCTATTAAAAACATTCTAACACAGCATCTGAGATGAATGACAAAGGTCCTGTAATTGCTCCCTTCCCGGGACCTTAATAGCACACACATGTGTGCTGTGAAAGCCAGTGCTCCACACACCTTCACATCAGGCTTTTTATGAGGATCACTAATTTAAACCCCATAGTTCTAGCTGAAAAGCAGTGTGCAATATGCTTTCATAAACACCAGGTCAACTTTCACCATGGCATCATGCTAAAGAAAGAAATATCTGTCTTTTCACTGATAAGATCTAATTAGCCCAAAGCAAACTGTAAGCTGTTTTTCAAGCTTCCTTGTTCTTTTATTTTCTTTTTTTTTCCCTTCTTTTTGAACCCCAGATCTGTAAAAGAACATATCTGGTCTTGCTTACAACAATCTTTCATTTGGAAACTTTTGTGAAATGACTGATTTGTTTAATTTAGCCAAGAAGAAAAAAATGCATACCCTTCTGACTCAGTATGGGAAGAAACAATAAATTATGGCAGCAAATGCTCGTGGCTGATGTGACAGTATCTTAGCAGGAAAAGAGAAGCAATTTTTGCAAACTGCCTACAGCTGTACTTTCAAACTGCACAACCCCAAGGAACAAGACCTGACCAGCACATCCAGCATGTCTTACTGCATAATTAAGCTTGGCTTTGCTATTCTGAAAAGTTCCATTGTGTACAGAGTTCAGACATTAAAGGCTGAACACATGAATATTCTGGGTAGTAACAGTGCCCGTAAAGTACTTGTGCAGTGGAGCCCAGGTGGATGCTGATGAGAAAATGCCATTTAATCCAATATTCCAATCATCAGAATTTACTTCTCACAAGATTCAGCAGGTCACCTACTGCACTTGTGCCATGGAAGTGGAAATACTACAGACCTTATTCCACCAGGACAGCTGCAAAGACCTGATGGTGAAAAACACCTAATGCAAAAGGCATTATCAAGGTAATTTTAAATAGCTCCAGTAGTAATGGACAACTATGGGATCACAG